TATATATATATATATATATATATATATATATATATATATGTTATAGAGTTTCAAGAAAAAGGTTTACAACGTGCTCACTTTCTAATTATACTTAAATCAGGTTCCAAGATTATTTCTCCTGAAAATGCAGACAAGATAGTATCCGTTGAAATCCCTGATTGTATAGAGTATCCTTATTTGTATTCCATTGTTATTTAACACATGATGCACGGTCCTTGTGGTTCTTTAAATCCAAACAATGTGTGTATGCAAAATGGTGCAACAAGCCATTATCCACATAAATACAATACACACACTTCTTTGGATGAAAATTCTTATCCTAAACATAGAAGACGTGATAATCGTAACAAAGTTAAAGTTAGAAAACATTTCCTTGATAATAGGTGGGTTTTGCCTTGTAATTTTTATCTGTTAGCTAAATATGACTGTCATATTAATGTATAAATATGTTCAACAATAAAAGATGTAAAATATTTGTACAAATATGTTTACAGAGGACATAAAACAGTCAGTTTTTTTGTGAACAATGACAACGAATTTCATTGTATGGATGAAATACAAAAATTTCAGTCAGGTAGATAGATCTCTCTCCCTGAAGCAATGTGGAGGATTTATGGATTTACGATGTATGAAATGTATCCAACTGTTATTTCATTACAGTTGCTCCTCGAATATTAGCAATTAATTACATATAAAAATGCTGATGATCTTCCTAGAGTTACCAAACAACCCTTTTTTCAAAAAACCATGTTAACTGATTTTTTTACAATGAATGCTACAAATGACGCAGCAAGAAAACTCTTGTACAGAGAATTCCCTGAACAATTTGTGTGGGATAGGCAAAGTAAATGTTGGACTATTAGGAAAAAAAAGGTGTTGTGGTTGGAAGGATTGTGTTAGCAAATCCAGTTAAAGGTGAAAGATATTACTTGCGAATATTGTTGAGCTACATTAGAGGACCCTTATCTTTTAATGGTTTAAAATTCGTTAATGGCATTTCTGTAAAAACTTTTTGTGAAGCTGTAATATTACAAGGTTTGATTAGAGCGAATGATAGTTGTCAATTGTGTTTTACAGGAAACTTGTACTTATCAAATATCAAATTCATTGCGCCGGTTATTTGCTACTATTTTAGCACTTTGTAGTCCCGATCCAAAAAAATTATGGCATCAATTTAAAGAATCTATGTGAAGATTATTTGAACAGAAATGTAAGTTTATATGATGCAGAAGTAAAAACATTGCAGTCTATAAATTCGTTCTTGGAGCCTTTCGAAAAATCTTTAAATGATTATGGATTTGGTCTTTATGATATTAATCTCCAACAGAAGGATAAATTGTTAGAAAGAATGGTTAACGACGAATTAGGAGTGACAATATCCAAAGATGATCTTCTTTGTCCAGATAATTAAACCAAGAGCAAAGAGCTGCTTATGATATAATACTTGATAAAGCTTTCAATAATATTGGTGATATGTTTTTTATTGATGGTTTGGGTGGAATAGGGAAAATTTTTTGTATCGTGGATTGCTTACAATTGTTAGATCAAGAATTTTGGTTGCTTTAGCAACTGCATCTTCAGGGGTCACTGCAGATTTATTACTTGGAGGTTAAACAGCACATTCAAGATTTAAAATTCCATTTTATATTCATAGTGATAGTATTCGCTTAGTGAGTAAACAATCTGCTCTAGTTGATCTGCTTAGGATGACACACTTAATAATTTGGGATGAAGCTCCAATGATAAATTCTCAAGCTGTTGAAGCCTTAGACAAAATGTTAAGAGATATAATAGACTTTGAATTATCATTTGGTGGGAAGGTGATCATTTTAGATGGAAATTTTCACCAGACTTTACTTGTTGTTAATGGAGTAAAGAAGACATAATCGTATCAAGCCTTTTAACTCTTATCTATGGCGTCTTTTTACAAAAATCAAATTACATCGAAATATGGGAGCACTCTTTGATCCTTCTTTTTTAGAATATTTACTTAGGATTGGAAATGGAACAGAAAATAAGCGTTCATGCAGTATGATTAAGCTTTGGTATTGTATGACTCTGGATTATGAAGAAGACAATATTTCTTTACTTAAACTAATTGATATTGTATTTCCTGAAATAGTTAACTATTCAAAAAACCTTCCACTTATGATGAATCGGGTTATTTTAGCATAAAAAATGAGCATGCCGATGACATCAATAATAATCTCATAGAACATTTCCTAGGTGATGTTATTGTTTATTACAGCTTCGATGAAATATTAGATAAGACAAGAAAGTGCATGCAAGAAGCTTTTTTGAATTCTTTAACCTCAAATGGTATACCACCACATGAATTAGTGTTGAAGATTAGCTGTCCTGTAATATTACTCCGAAATATTAATCCAGCAAAAGGATTGTGTAATGGAACAAGATTAATATGCAAAGACTTAGAACGGAATGTCATTCATGCAGAAATTGCTACTGGAGAATATAATGGCAATAAAGTATTTCTATCTCGTATTTCTTTTATTCTGTTGAAGTGTGATAAAACTGTATTTCCATTTAAAAGAACATAATTTCGAGTAAGCCCATATTTTGCAATGATTATATACAAATCTCAGGGACAAACTTTAGACTATGTTGGAATATATCTTCCACAACCAGTATTTTCACACGAATAGTTATATGTTGTATTATCAAGAGCAAAAATAAGTACATGTATTAAAATTCTTGCCAAACCAATATTTGATGATGAAATCTATGCTAAATGTACTAAGAATGTTGTTTATGATAAAATTCTATCTTTAATTTAGTTTTCTTTATGTTTAGATGATTGTTTTCTGAGATTGTATTCATGAAACTAGCAATGTTTTAACTTTTAAACAATAATATTACTTATTGAGACTAATTCTTATTACATTTATTGTAAACTCCAAATCTATAAATCCTATTGCCTTACCCATAACTTTTCTCTTTTTATGTACAAATTTGTATAAAATTTTTTGCTTGAAAGATTGACAAATATAAAATTAAAACAACATTTTATCTTTGTTATTTTGTTGGTCAGAAAGGAAAATTTCTATAATACAAATTCAAAAGAGTGCATAAGAGTACATAAGGTTAGTGAATATTGACTTCAACACGGACAATTCAATTGCAACTATAAATTTTGTATTGAAGGTGAATTTCCTCTTTTTTTTTTTTTTTTCTAGCTTTTGAGTGCTTTTCTACTTTTATTTGATATATAATTTTAGGCCTTGTTCACTTATCTACAAAACCCTTTTTTCTTGTTACTGTTGTTATATTAATGGTTACGTGCAAGTGTAAATTTCAATATTTTATTTGTGAGCTTATGAATTCGTTCTTGGAATAGCAACTAGAGGAAAATATAACAATTAGTTTACAAAGTGGTAACAGTGATGTCCTAGGATGGTAACATTAGTTTACAAAGTGCTCATCCTGTCTGGCAAAACAGTTTCTATTGGATGTCCTAGGATGAAATAATCCACCATTTACATACTCCTGTAAATTAAGTGTTTCCATTGGTTGATCTTTACTGTTAATTCTGTTTCCTGAGTTTACTTGCTATAACATCTGACGAACACATTCAGTTTGAAATTCAAAGTCCATGATCACATATTCTTTAGAAACAAGTGTACAATCATCATTAATCCGCTGTCTCAATAGTTTTAACTCCACCTCAATGTTCTAATAAAATAAATAAGCATAGATTAAATATATAGCAATCGAAAAAAATTTATTGTGATTACTAAACTATATCTTTTGTTATCTCCAATAAAATCTTCAACATATCTCTTCCATACATATTGTTACATCCATCATCTCAATATGTGCAGTGTAACTGATTTAAGTTAGCATTAGATAAATCATAACAAAATTATAATATTTAAGCTAATAAAGTAAAATTAGATTTTTTACCCAGATGGATGTTTCAGAATCCAATATCTAATTATTGTGTACTTCTCCATGAGATAGTTTTCTAAAGGATAATTTATAGGTGAAGTTTGTACCCGTTTCCCCTTATTTTTCCTATCTCTTCTCAATCTTTCAAAACTCTTAATTTGTTGAGATGTCGACAATGGCATCAATTGAGTGCTAGGAATTGAACTACTGGAAGTTGAAGTACTTACAAGAAGATCTTGCTGTATGGAACCTATAATTGTTTCCATATTTGATTCCCACTCATGTAATTCCTTCAGTATGCTCTTATTTTTTCATCGATATAAAATGATACTGAATTTATGTTGGCATCTACATAAGATTCTATGCCCGATTGGATATTTTGATAATGATTTTCTTGCCACTTCTGTTGTTCTTTGAAGAATTGTCTTTGATTGTCAAGGACTGTTTGGTAATGAGTTTGTTGTCTTTTTGATTCCTCAGCAATATGATCATTCAACAGACTCTCACACAAGCGTGAAGTATCAGCATAAGATTGGATAGCAGATTGAATCCAGATTGCATATGATCTTCCTGCCATTTTTGATGCAGTTGAAACAATTGTTTTTTATTTTCAAGAAGTGCATGATGATGTACATCTTGCTCTTCTGCAATTTGTTCTTTTAGGTTGCTACACAAATTAATGACATCTGATACTGTGTGTTGCCTATATGTAGCCAATATTTTCTCAATTTCTTTTGTGGTTATGTTGTTGCACTCCAACTGAACCTTGTGTCTTGAAGTACCAAGAACAGTCGTTTGTTCCACATTGAGGTAATCTAGGATTTGTTGTTGTGCTACATTGTTCAGATTTCTATTCACGATGACATCGAATATGCTGTGTTGATTGTCCAATAGCAGTGATAGAGTATTGTACCATAATGTTTGCAATTCTTGTTCGTCTGTTTGTAGCATTGCAATTGCATGGATCTGTACGATCAAATATTAGAATCGTTAAATTTCTTTTTTGCATAATTAAATGAACATGTAATTACAAATTAATAAACAAAAAAATTATACCTCTTCATTAGCTAAAAATTGTTTGACTATTTTCTCTGTCAAATAAAATTTTGGTTTCCATCTATGCATTCGTGGAATTTGTGCTGTTTTGTATTTGCGGCGTCCTAATCTTTCTCCAATTTCAAGAAATGCTTCATAAATCTAATATTATAGCATAATTGAAATTTGGTATTAGATGTATACAATTTGTTTTTTTTTGTATATAAATAAATTATACAGAATAAGTAATAAAAATAAAACAAAATTACCTGGAATGTAAGAGGATATCCATGTAATGCATATTTACAATCTATTTGTGATTTTGTTGTATGCTTTGTGTTCTATCTAGTTGTGACTCTTGTAGGGAGTTTAACAAAACAAAGTATGACTTACAACCCCATGGATACGAAAAAAACTCTTCAAGGTGGTCAACCATGATAAGAATCCTATAATCAGTGTACCTTTTAGTTGGTTTCAAGTTACACTTGACCAACATAACCAATCCGAAATTAAATTTATCTTCTTCACTATAACAGATGTGGAATACTTCAAAAAGCATTCTCATGCTGATCCTTTTGCTACTGTTAAAATATTCATTTCTAAGCCGATTACTATTAAAATCATTATTCATGGGTGCTTCGTGATAAGGTAATCCAGTACAGAATTCTTACATACCAAATCTAGCCAAGTTGTTATCTAACCTCACCCAAATTTCATTTTTCTTACCACAATTTACAATTCTCATTATAAATTCGTGAACTAATTTGCTGCTAAATTGTCCTTCTTCTCCTCTATAAATAAATCCATAAATGAATCTATAAAAATTACTGCATAACAAAGAGGCTTATTCGTTAGCATGTATAAATTCCACAAAATCTTTAAAGTATTGATGATTTGAATATTGAGTGATAGTAGTAGAAAACCACTGATTTGGAGTCAATGCGTACTCTAAACACATCTGTAAATTATTAAAAAAAAAATTTAACGAAGAAAAAAATCTGCTCCGTGCTGCACAGAGCTTTTGCTCCGTCCAGGCCAGATCTGCTCCGTGCATGTAGTCTGTTTCACAATTTCATAAATCTACATATTTTTTCTATTTGAAACACCTTTATCTACTCAAATCTGAGCAAAAAAAATATGTAAGCATACCTTTTTTCTATACGATGGAAGCTTTTTTCTTCTGATGGAAAACTTGAAAATGGGAAGAATAGAAAAAGATAGAGAAAGGTTGGTGAAAAAAATAAATATAGCATTGAATGGTGTTAAAAAATTCCAAATAATTTTTTAATTACTAAAATATCAAAATTTTCAATTTTTATGTAAAACTTTTTTAAGATGTAAAATTTTTTAAAAATATAATTCCTGATTTATTTCAAATTTTATTAAATGGTTAGAACAAAATTTTTAATTACTTGAAGCAAAATCTTGCTATTAACGTGATTTCTTTTACTAACAAATCTTTTTGTCATACCTTTCTCCACATTTTATCCCAAAATCCTATCAAATCAAATTATTTCCATACCCAAATCCACTAATTTCTAATTTTTATAGAGTACCTATTGAAGAAGTCATACTTATCATCTGTAAAAAAATCATACCTTTTTTACATCATCATGAATTTTTAAATATATTTCTTTACCAATTCTTCAACTATATATATGTATAGGTTTGCAATCTTTTTCCATCATCAAACAAAATACTTATATTCTCTGCATTTCTTTATTTTGCATCAGCTTTAAAATGTAATAAAGTATACAATTTTTTGCATAATAATTTTTTTCTTCAAATAAATTCTCTATGCTTACTCTCATGTATAAACTACATCATTATATGCAAAAGAAGAAGAAAAAGAAGAACGGTTGAAAATTACAGATTAATTCAACTATCTATCCAGGACAAAGTAATTGGACAGCCAAAGTCGTTGTAGCTGAAAAAAGTGCTCCAAAACTAGCTCGAAATGGTGTTTCCAAATACTTGAAGATAACACTGATTGACACAAAAGTATGTTTTTCACTTCTAAAACTTTACCACATATTTACTACACACTAATGTTTTAACTGCATTTCATCTATTACTTATTTGGAAATTTGACAGTGGTTCTAAAAGGACACAAGGTGCAGGCTACAATTTTCAATTCAAACATAGCAATTTTGGAAGACCGTTTGCTTCTGTCCAAAACATACTTAATATCTAATGCAAATGTAAGATATACACCACTTCAATTAAGATATTCCATTGGTGAATACCGATGGACTATTTCAGGAACAACCAGAATATAGGAAATTCGAGAAGGCTATAGTCACCTTTTATCTTCTACATACATATTTACTCATTTCCATCAGCTGCAGGAATATATGGATTCAAATACAGACATCTGTAATTCCTAATTTCTTTCTTTAACTATTATTCTTATCTTTTTCTATATATAAAATTACAATTTTTTTTTATTTCAGCTATCTTTGGAGTTGCTATCGATATACGACCAAAAAGATTAATTCAAAGACATTTTGGATCTCAATCTTATGTTCTAGATATCATTCTCATTGACAACAAGTTTGCACTACCATTTGTCACTTTACCACTATATTTTTTTATACTACTTCCGCATCAAATATTTTTAGCCTTCACATTTTTTTAGGTTTGAGGTAGTGGTTTTGACTATGTGGAATGGTTTCGTTGAAAAAAATGCAGTCTTATTTCAGATAAGTTGATTAAAAAACCC